CAATGTAACACAGGTTTACATCTATGTCAGTCTAGTAAAGTAGGGGTTCCAGGCTGGTGAATAGAATTTTTTTTTTTTTTAACATCTTTGCTTCCAACAAGGCTGCAAGCAACCACTAATTAGTGTTGGAAGTTACTGGAAGAGAAAAGATGAAGATTGTAGAGCAAGATAAAGATTGACAGACGACTTAAAAGATTGCAAATTATATGAATCAGGAAAGCAAGATGAAAGATGCGAATTCCAAAGAACAGATGTTTGAGGAAAAAACTAGTTGAATAAAAGTCTTTAAAGTACTTAGGAACAGTAACAGAAAAAAAGATGAGACTTAATTGAATGATGAGTAACAAAGGAATGAATTTTAGTAGATGGCACAAGAGACGCTTGCTCTTTAGAGCAGTGCCCATTATAGTTTTTGTAGAAAAGAAAAAGAGAAGCAACATTACAACAATGTGACAGAGGTTAAAGGTTGGCTGCAAGAGCAGGTCCCACTTTGTTTATTTTTTGCACCTTGTCTAAAAGAGAAAGGGCATCATTAGAAGATCCGCCCCAGATATGGCAACAGTATTCCATACAAGGCTGGATTTGAGATTTATAGAGATAGAGAATAGAATCCAGAGTAAGAAAGTGTCGAGCTCGATAAAGAGAAGCAACTTTAGCAGATGCTAATTTTGCAGCAGATTTAATGTAAGGTTTCCAAGAAAGATCAGAAGTAAGAGTTAATCCTAGAAGGTGAAGGGTAGGAGACTCATCAAGTACATTACCGTTCATAAATATAGGAAGGTTTAAATTATTGCGATAACAATTGCCAGAAAAAAATGAGTTTTATCTGAACTAAAGTTCACCAGCCACTGTAAGCCCCATGCTGTAGCAGAAGTGAGATCCTTTTCAATCTCAGATGCCCCCTGCAAGCCATCAGAGGGAGTTGGCTTCTTATCGTGACAAGAATAAATGGCAGTATCATCAGCAAACAATGCCACCTTAGATGTGAGAATATCTGGAAGATCGTTAATGTAAATTAAAAAGAGTATAGGGCCAAGGATTGAACTTTGAGGAACCCCTGAGGTTACAGAATAAGAAGAAGAAAGCTGTCCATCAAAGACAACTTTTATACTACGATTGGAAAGGAAGGATTCAATCAGCTTAAAGATGTTTCCAGATACACCATAAGAAGAAAGCTTATGGAGAAGACCAGCATGCCAAACTTTATCAAACGCTTTAGAAACACCAAGAGCGATGGCCTTAACCTCTCCACCATCATTGCGCGATAAAACCTATCGGTTATTACTGATAGCAAATCAGCCATAGAGCGAGAAGACCAAAATCTATATTGATGATCAGAAAGTAGGTTATGAGATTCGAGATGAGATATTAAGTGGTTGTTAATTAAAGATTCAAAAACCTTGCTGATGATCGGAAGAAGACTAATGGGAGGGTAGTTAGACGAATCGGATTGCTCTCCAGAATTTTTAAAAATAGGGATAACAGATGCTGCTTTCCAGCAGGCCGGAAAACAAGACTCTGATATGCACTTTTTCAATAGTTTTGAAAGAATAGACGACAGTTCCGGAGAACACTTCTGCAAGACTATAACGGGTATGTTGTCTGGGCTGCAAGCTGTAGAAGAGTCTAAGCAGGAAATCACTTTAGATACAGAAGCTGGAGTGATACGAATGTCGAGCAATGGATCAACCTGTTTGACGGCTATATCAGCTATATCAGAATTACTCTTCTTACCTCTAAAGTTTTAAGTCAAACTGAATACTAATCAAGTCAGACTATAAACTGTTCATGATATTTATTTAAATTCATGACTGACATATGTATGAGCTGTCCATCGAGGACAACTTTTAAACTGTAATTGGTAAGAAAGGAAATTTGTAATTTGCTTAGAAGACCTACAAGACAGTAGCTGGGTGCAATTAACTTCTGCCCAAGATGAGTATTTTTATCAAGAAACCATCTTTAGCCTCACCATTTCTCTAGCAATTCTCAGATAACAAAATCTTGTATTTCATTTCAAAAATTAGGCTCAAAAGATTTCTGGAGAACTTTTAACAGTGTCTATAATAAAGGCAAATCTGTTATTCTCCTCTCTTACATGGTTCAGACTTTGTTACCTCGCCTAAAGACAAAGCTAAATTGTTTGCTGAGAACTTTTCGTCAATATCATCTTTTGATTCCACTAATCACATCCTACCTGATATAGCCAACAAACAGGTTGATCCATTGCTTGACATTCATATCGCTTAAGCTTCTGTATCTAATTGAGATTATGAAATATTATATGAAACATATTTATGAAATTTTTTCATGAATATGTGCCAGTTTTTCTATTTTTGTGTGTTTTGCTATTAATGTTTGTATCAATAAAATAAACCAAAAATAATTTTCACACATATACACTACAGTAGTGAACAAATTATTAAAAAATTTTGTTCACAAACCACATATGAGATTTAAAACTGCTATTGCACACACATTTCATCATATATTATACACATAAACATATTAGATGTTGAAGAATGTCTTTCTAATACTTTGTGTGGCCACCTTTGGCTTTAATTAGTGCTTGTACTAGATCTGGCATACCTCTAATCAATTTGCCACATATGTTGTTGATCTCATCATTATGAAACCACATATGAATCAGACATTCTATTAGGACTGATTAGGAAATCCACTTCATGGATTTTATCCTTGAGCTTATCCCAAAGTGACTCTATAAGATTCATGTCAGGAGAATTTCCTGGCCATGGGAGTACCTCAATATCATCCAATTGTAGACCTTGGGTGTCGTATGGCATGGAGCTGAGTCCTGCTGAAAAATACAGGTGCTGTCATGGAACCAGTCACGTATTTGGAGCTTCAGACGGGTACTGAGCATTTTAATGTACTTTTCCGCATTCATTGTGCCCTGTACAATGTGCAGATGATGGAGGCAATCTTCTCTGAACTCCTCTCCTGGTCTTCTTCTTACAGTCTGAACTCCGTCATCTAATACTTGGATGGTAGACTCATCTGAAAAGATGACTTTTGACCAGTCCTCATCTTTTCAGTCTATGTGCCAGGGCCCATTCCATACGTGCTTGCTTCATTTTCTCAGTAAGCCGAGGTTTTTTTCTTGGGCGATAAGCACAAAGTCCAGCTTCCAGCAATCTTTGATTAACAGTCATCCAACTTGTCTTCACACCTTACTCTTCCAAAATAGAAGCAATTTTTCTACATGAAGCTCTTTTGTCAGATTGGCATAGCTTTACAATTTTCCTGTCTGTTCATAGATTTGTTTTTCTCTTACAGCCACATTTTCCAATCCTCTCTGCACAGAGATGAGATCGATACTTTCAATATTTTTGCTATTTCCTTCTGGCTCATTTCTGTATTGTTCAGTAAAACTTGAATTTGTTTCTTTTTTTTAGGGCTCAGTAACGCCAAAAGGTGGTGTAGGCTCAAAAGGCATATAAGGATGTTTTTCCTACAACGACCTTGGTTTTTGTGAGCTGTATAATGACTGTATCAACCAATATACCTACAAAAACACACTTGAAACACGCATGATTCCATCGACAAGGCAATTGCACAGCAGAAGCAAGCAATACATCGTTCAGCAAGACGGGGCTCCAGTACACACAGCACATAGTATAACAAACTGGTTTACCACAAAGAAGATCAATTTGTTGCCTTAGATCATTAGGTGCCATAGATCACCAGATATCAACCCAATAGAAAATATTTGGTTATGGATTGACACTCAATTAGTAAACCATCAAATTCAATCAACTGAGCATTTGAAGCAACTTCTGAACAAGTAATGGTTAAAAATGCCACATGAAATGTACATGAAATTTATTGAATCAATGCAGAGACTAGTTCTTCTTTGCTATCGAGCTAAAGAAGGACATTTTAAATATTAAGTTTGTATTTTATTTTTATTTTTTGTGTTCTAAAACTTAACTTTATTAAACTTTTATGATTATATAATTATTTATTTAATTCTTTTGAATTATTTATTTAACTATCTAAGTAATGTTGATTGTATAGCTAATAGATTGTTCTTTTAAAAATAAAAATAAATTAAATTCATTTTCTTGAACTTTTTTAGTTTTTTAACACCCTGAAAAGTTTGACTAAAATTACCATCTCGATTAAACTTTTGTGTGCAGCTGTAGTCTTGCAGAAGTGTTCTCTATAGCTGTCGTCTATACTTTCAAAACTATTTAACAAGTGCTTATCAGAGTCTTGTTTTCCAGTCTGCTGGAAAATGATATCTGTTATCCCTATTTTTCAAAATTCTGGAGAGCGATCTGACTTGTCTAACTACCATCCAATTAGCTTCTTCCTATCAAAAGCATGGTTTTTGAATTTTTAATTAAAACACACCTAATCTCTCATCTTGAATCTAATAACTTATTTTCCGATAATCAATATGGACTTTGATCTTCTCGTTCTACTGTTACTGATCTGTTAAACATAATTACTGATAGGTTTTATCCTACATTAGATAGATGTAGAGAGGTTAAGGCTATCGCTCTTAAAATTTCTAAAGCCTTTAAAAAAGTTGGGCATGCTGATCTTCTCCATACGCTCTCTTCTTATGGTGTATCAGGTAACATCTTTGAGATTATTGAATCTTTTCTTACCAATTACAGTTTAAAAGTTGTCCTCGATGGACAGCTCATACATATGTCAGTCATGAATTTAAATAAATATCATGAACAGTTTATAGTCTGATTTGATTAGTATTCAGTTTGACTTAATTGAACAGCTTAAATCTAAGTAATTATGTTCACAAATTCAAAGAAGTCATTTATGCTTACTGAATAATAGTATAAAAATGGCTTAAAATCAGAAATTACTTTGTAATTATTCACATTTCAGAAAATAACAAAAATCAATTGTGCTTAAACTCAATGAATAATTCAGTGAATAACTCAATGAATAATTCAGTGAGTTTTTCAGAACTTCTGTTGTGGATTTTTGAACTCATTTAAAAGTAAAACAAAAATATAAAATATATAATCAAATTTAATATATAATCAAATTTAACAGTAACATAACAAATACAAATTTTAAAACTGAAAATACCTTGCAATAAAATATTTATTTAAAAGTAAAAAAGAAAAAAGTTTTTCATATTTAAACATAAAACATGTTAAAAACAAAACAGTATTAAAGGAAATATTCCTACCAACAACTGTCACTTGTGAAGTAAAGAAATCAGAGCCTAACACGCTTGTAATCAAACATGAAACATTAAAATTGCCATGCTCTTTAAATTCAACAACTCTGTAAAAGTTGTTACCTTTCACGTCAAAATTTTCACCATTTTTTGTCCAGCTAATTTTTACTTTGCTGTTTTCCTTGACAGGGCATCTGAATCTTATTGAATTGCCCAAAAGTATCAGAACATGTGCACCTACATCTGCACTGAGTAATTTAATTTTATTTTCTAGATACTCCAAATGATGAACATCAGACCTCTCAACAAGTTCATGGAATGGAGCTAAATTGTAGTTAAATTGCAAAAAAAAAAAACTGACTAAAATAACTAAATTTATATTTTTAATTTAAAAAATATTTATATCAACAAACATTGTAAATACTTTTCCCAAAAAAACTTATATTTTTTTAACAAAAATTTTATTGAATATATGTCACACTTAATAATAAACACACAACACATTATTCTTAAACATAGCAAAAGAGCTAATTTGTCAATTGTTAAATATAAAAAAATTCATTTAAAAATAATTTAAGTAACTTGGATATTATTTATAATAAGACATAAATTTTATATTTGGAAAGTAAATACCTAAAACATTAACTTCAACAGAACCAAACTTCAATTTTGCTGGATCATTTGTAAAACAAAAATAACTCCCAGAATCCTCTACTACAAGATTATTAAGTTGTATAGTGCTTTCATATAACTCCAACTGTTTATCATTTTTATACCAGACAACATCTACTTTTCCAAATTTATCAACTGGGCACAGCATTTTTAAATTATTATAAGTCCTTATTGTTACATTTGTCCCAATATCAACCAAAACTGTTTCTTTAGTTGTATTCAATTTAAACACGTTGCGTGCAGTGGGTTTAATGTTATGAGGAGTAAACTCACCTTGAACATAAATAAATAATTTAAACAATATATATATATATATATATATATATATATATATATATATATATATTTATATATATATATATATATATATATATATATATATATATATATATACATATATATATATATATATTTATACATGTATATATATATAATATATATATATATATATATTTATATATATATATATATATATATATATATATATATATATATATATATATATATATATATATATATATATATATATAAATATATATATATATATATATATATATATATATATATATATATATATATATATATATATATATATATACATATACTAAAATCATAACTACAAATTATGCAAATACCTACTACTGATATCCTGCTACTTGCATAATCAAATCCAAGAGAGTTCAAAAAAAAACATTCAAATTTTCCATTATGCTCCCATAGAACTTTTTTAACTAATATTGATCCATTTTTAAGGTCATCCACAAAGTTTAATTGCTCTATTGTTTCTCCATTAAATTTCCAGAGAATTTTAGGAATTGGTAGTCCTTCCCCCAAACATGTAATTTCAATTTGTTTGTTTAAGTTTACCACAAGAGAATCACCTATATTTATTTTTAAAATTGCTCTAGAAAGAACTTCTGAAGTCAAGTTTTTATTTGATGAATAAATAATTGGGCGCTTTGAATCTAAATTACAAAACAGATTTATGCAAGTTGGCACTGTTGCCAAGTTAAAAGCAACAATTTATTCAAAAAAGTAAATAAACTTTAACTTTTTGTGTTAGTGTGTGTAAATATATATATATATATATATATATATATATATATATATATATATATATATATATATATATATATATATATATATATATATATATATATATATATATATATATATATATATATATATATATATATATATATATATATATATATATAAGCAAGCAATACATCTTTCAGCAAGACAGGGCTCCAGCACACACAGCACATAGTATAACAAACTGGTTTACCACAAAGAAGATCAATTTGTTGCCTTAGATCATTAGATGCCATAGATCACCAGATATCAACCCAATAGAAAATATTTGGTCATGGATTGACACTCAATTAGTAAACCATCAAATTCAATCAACTGAAACTTATTTTTAATTAATTCACCTCCTCAAGGCTGAGAAAGCCACTACAGAGGAGGAGGCACTTAGTTGTGGTTATAAACCCTCTCTCAACTCTATAACTCCGAAACACGAACCTTGACAAATAAGGTGGCTGCATGGAGAAACATTTTGATATGTATATATCAGGGGCTATTGTAGACCGTTTTCGACAGCGTCAACCATACTTACACCAATTTGGGTGCTGTCCAAATTAAAAACTGAGGACTTTTTTTTTATAAATTTTAATGGCAAATGTTTTCTTCGCAAAAAAATGCATATATTTGGCAATAATTCCACTAAACTTTGCTAAGATGGGGGAGAGTACTGCCGCCCAAACTTTTATTCCTAGAATCCCCTGTATATATGTGTGTGTGTGTATAAAATTTTATAAAATTATTTTAATTTTGAACAATGCGTTAGAAATAGTTTTCTTGTTTATGATGCACTACTTTCTAGCGAGTCATTTAAGCGAAAAGTTTGAAAGTGAAAAGAAGTCAAAACAAATTTTTTCTTTAATCCTTTTACTTTTCAATATTGCCTGGTTTTTATCTTTATTTTAAAAACATTTCAATAAACTTATTTTTTATCAATATAATTCAATAATTAAAAATTAAAAACTTATTAATAATTTATATCAATATATTTCATTAATTAAAAATTAATAATTTATTATTAATTTTATATTATTAATTCTGCTACTTATAATATATTCAAGTATAGCATATATTAAACTTATCGTTGTTAAAACTTTTGTAATAATTATTACATATTAATAGAAACCAGAAGTTTTTCTGCTTTAACAACCCTGAACTCATTATTTCACTTCGTTGCAATGAATGTATTCCACGTAACTTACGTAACGTAACGATGTAAACTATAATCATTAAGTTTTTTGCTTCAGTTATTTAAATTAATTTTATTTTACTGATGGCGAAAATCCTTTTTTCTTAAATGGTTGAAGTTCTTATTTTATTACTATTTTATATAAATATTTTATATATTATTTTATTAATAATATAATAATATATAATAAATTATGTATTTAATTATAAACAGTTTTTTTTTTCACCTGCACTTAGTCAATTTGTTTTATCTTTTGCAAAATCTTTTCATTTATTTTCTCATAAGTTTTGCCAAAAATTATAAATAAATGAATGAATGGTTTATAGAAAAATTAAAAATTACTGAGAGCTTGCTCTTTTTTTTATAACAGGATTATTAAAAAAACATATATATATATATATATATATATATATATATATATATATATATATATATATATATATATATATATATATTTATAAAAAATTTCGTTTTATGTAAATTTAATATTTTTTTATAGTGTTTCATTAAACAAATTGTTTAATGTTTTAAAATTTAATTTTTAAAATTTGTTTCATTAAACAAATTGTTTAATACTAAGAAGACGAATGTTTGAAACAATATATAGTATTAAATATTCAGTTTAAATAGTATCTGCAACAGTTAGTAACATTATTATTAAATAATTAACATTAGTGGTTTTTAAAATGATTTTAATGAGCAAGAGAAATGTGCAAAAGTTTTATTCAACTTCAGAGATTTATTATTATTCGAAAAAAAGAAAAAGAATAATTTTGATCGTCCAAAAACAACAATTGACAGTTACTTCCTTGAATTGGCCGGTTGACAGTCACTTCCTTGAATTGGCCATATTACCCGATCACCTTTAATTCCTTATTTTTCACACTGTATGTATATATGTATATGTGTATGTGTGTATATATGTATGTATATATGAATATATATACATATAGTATATATATATTCATATATACATGCATATATTTATTGTTTATTATATTTTTTCAAATAAAACATTAACTCTACCAAGCAGTTCAATTCGCGTTGTGGCCTCATCTTTCCTATCCTGTTGAACAGCACGACAAGTGTAAGAACCAGCATACCTTTTATCCATTTTTGGAATAATCAGATCATTTGCATTATTACTTATCAAAAACAGATCTCCTTGCTTTATCATTTTTTGGTTATGCAACCAGTAAACAGTGGCATTTGGCCTAGCTACATAAGGACATTTAAGTTTGATATTTGCATCTTGAATTGATTTAACTGTGTCTCCAATAACAACTTCTATTTGTTTCATAATGTCAGTTACTTTATAGATTTTGTTGCTTTTTTTAATAGTGACAGGTTGAAAATCTAAATTGATATTAATGATATTATCTATTAATATATCACAACTAATTTAAAAATGTAAAAAAACAAAAAACATCTAAAGTATCCAACAAAACTTGGAAAATAACAGAGGCAATAGGAAAAAATTAAAACACTAAAAAAAAACAATTAAAAAACCAAATAAAAAACTAAATAAAAACCAAATAAAAAAACTTTTCAAAAATTCCAAAAAAAAACATAATATGTTAAATATTAAAAAAAATTAACTTTATAACACACAAAAAAAAAGAACATGCCTTCAATCTTGACTTTATAGATTATTAGTGTAACACCAAGATCTGCAGTTAACTCGCAAGTGTATTCCCCGGCAGATTTGTCATCAATATTATTTAAAACAAGCTGCTCACCTCTAGGTAAATATTTGCTGCTGTGAGATAAAAATTGGCCATTTTTATACCATTTTAACTGTGGCCTTGTAGCACCAGGTAAAGCACATGTTAAAACCAGAGTTGATCCTTTAATAGCAGTAACTTCATCTTTAAAAATTACACCTGAATCAACATTTGAGGGGCCATTTTGTTGTTGCTTTTCTAAATATAAAAAAACAAAACAATTTAATTAAAACAAAAACTGTCTGTTAAAAGCAGTAATATAATTGCTTAAACACCTGGACCAATATTTTTAATGCCATTCTGTTGAGGTTTTTCTAAATAAAAAAATTGAACAGTTAGAGCAAATAATGATTCTTTCTAAGCAATTATAACATCTTTTAAAATCACACCTGATTCAATATTTTCTGGGTCATTTTGTTGTCGTTTTTCATCCTGTTTTTCTGAAAATACAAAAATCAATTAAATTAATTACAAAAGCAATCAATAGACCAAAAATTTTTATGCAGAAGTAAATCTATATAAAAATGCAGAAATTAAAAGTAGTAATAGCCTCGTTTGAGAGCATTTGACACAGAACTCTTGGCAGTCATTGCAACTGAGGCGAGACAAGAAAAAGCAAGGCGAGAAAGAGTCACAGCACATTTTTTATCAGTAAATATGAAAGAAAGTGTATGCAAATATCTAACTTTTATAAACTTTAAACTATAAAATGTTAAAACATTTATCAAGTTCTACAGTTTTATTTTCAATTGAAAATTACACTACGGCAACATCTCCTTAATTTTGATCAATAGCATTTATTTCCGTTTTATTAAGTCTTTTGTTTCTTAAACAGTTTTAAAATCATTGTCTATTAGCACCCCTGTGTAGCCAAGCACCTAGCTCGGGGAGTTTCAGAAGCAAAATGCCTTGGTTCAAATCCTACCACTATATCCTTTTTTTTTAATTTTTTTCATTTTCCTACAATACAAAATAATACACTTTTGAAGTTTTATAGATATTATATAACAAAACAGAAAAGAGAGAATTTTTAAAAAAGCCTAAAATTTCTAAGATCATCAAAATACTAGTAGAAATTTGTTGCACATATGTAAAGATAGATATGTTATTAATGTGCTCAGGTAACTAGACTATTAAGCTGCGGATGATCTAAAAAAACATTTAAAATTTTTCTTTTTATCAAGCCTGAAACTTAGTAAAAAAAAATAAAAAGCCTGTCCTGCTACTCCAGAAGGTACTTGATGAGTCATCTACCCTTCATCTTCTAGGATTAACTATTACTTTTGATCTTTCTTGGAAACCTTATATCAAATCCGTTGCAAAATTAGCATCTGCTGAAGTTGCATCTCTTTATTGAGCTCAACACTTTCTTATTCTGGATTCTATTCTCTATCTCTATAAATCTCAAATCCGGCCTTGTATGGAATACTGTTGCCATATCTAGGGCGGATCTTCTAATGATGCCCTTTCTCTTATAGACAAGGTGCAAAAACGCATTGTAAACATAGTTGGACCTGCTCTTGCAGCCAACCTTCAACCATTATCACATCGTTGTAATGTCACCTCTCTTTCTCTTTTCTACAAATATTATAATGGGCACTGCTCTAAAGAGCTAGCATCGCTTGTGCCATCTATTAAAATTCATTCTTGTGTTACTCGTCGTTCACTTCTCATTCAAGTCTCATCCTCGTGTTACTCGTCGTTCAATTCTCATTCAAGTCTCATCCTTTTTCTGTGACTGTTCCTAAGTGCTCCAAAAACTCTTATTCCTCTAGTTTTTTTTCCTTGAACATCAGTTCTTTGGAATTCGCTTCCTTTATCTTGCTTTCCTGATTCATATAAATTAATCTTTTAAGTCATCTATCAATCGTTATCTTGCTCTTCAATCTTCATCTTTTCTTTTCCAGTAACTTTCAACACTAATTAGTGATTGCTTGCAGCCTTGTTGGAAGCGAAGATGTTGAAAAAGATGAAAAAAAAAGGTGCTAATTCAGATGCAGAAAAATAAAAATAGCAAAACTGGACAAACTTTGAAACTTTATTTTAACAATTCTTTAAAAAAGTCTTTTTTGCTTTATTTATTTTGCAATAAATGTATACGCCCAGATTGAAAAAATTCAAAATGTTTGCCAAAAGATTGCAAATTATATGAATCAGGAAAACAAAATGATCCCCATATCCCCATATGCTAAATGAAATGCATTCTTCAATTTCAACTCCAATTTCAATCATTTTTCGCAAATCATTTTGCTCAAGTTCAGTTCCAAATAGCTGGAAGCTAGCTAAGCTAAATATTACACCTACCTACAAAAAAGGTCAAAAAACTAACCTTGAAAACTATCGCCCAATTTCAATTATATCTGTTCTATGCAAAATGATGGAACGACTTGTTAAAGATGCAATGCTTAAACATTTATTTTCAAAAAACCTTCTTGACGCAAACCAACATGGCTTTACACCTGGTAAGTCTTGTTTAACCAACTTAATGGAATCATTTGATTTAATTACCCACACTATGGAATCACGTTATGACATTGTTGTAGTTTTGCTTGACTTTGCCAAAGCGTTTGATAAAGTTAGTCACCCGCTACTTCTTAAAAAAGTTCGAGCGTATGGTTTTGACGAATATATCTGCCAGTGGATAAATGCACTCCTATGCATGGAAAAAAATGAGTTATTATAGAAAAATTAAGAATCCGACTGGTTAAACGTCCTCAGTGGTGTACCTCAGGGTACATGTATTGGACCATTACTATTCCTCATTTTTATTAATGATATGTCTCATCTACTCAATCAACATTGCAAATTTTATGCTGACAACACCAAAATTATTGCAATTATAAAAGAACCCTCTGACCTGCAGCGATTACAAAGCAACATCGATAAAGTAGTTGACTGGGCTGATATTTGGTCAATGAGCTTTCAAGAGAAATCATATAACTGCATTTTTCTATCTAGAAAAATGCAGTTATATGATTTTTAACAAGCATCGTTGCACACAGCAATTAAACAACAAAACTTTTGTTGATGATAAATTTAATGATCCCTGCTTCCAACTAACAATGACTAACAAAACTGGCTTTTCTCACATTTTTAAAGAGACCATCTCTGAACGTGATCTTGGTGTTGTTGTTCACAATCGCTTTTCTTGGAACAATCAAGTAGCAAAAGCTAATTCAAATTCATATACTGTTCTTGGAATTCTTAGACACACTTTCAAACATTGGACTCTTGAAATGTTTTGCGTCCTTTACTACTCTTATGTAAGGCCTCATTTGGAGTATTGCTTATCACCATGGGGATCATTTTCAATTGAAAATATAAAAGCTCTTGAAGCTGTTCAAAATTGAGCCACAAAACTTGTCCCAAATCTGCGAACCATGAAAGCCAAGGAACGCTGCTCAACTATTGGTATCCAATCACTTGAAAATTGAAGGTGCCGAAGTGATCTTATACAATACTTTAAGATTTACCATGGCATAAGTAAAGTTAAATGGATCAAATCATCATCTCCTGTTCCTGCACTTGCACAACCTGGACCAGCCGGTGGTCTTTAAGGTTTTCCCCATCGCATTCGGGCACCAAGAATTATTAAATGTGCAGCTTGCAAAAAAATTTTATGTAACCGTGTGGCAGTTTATTGGAATGCGCTACCACCAGGTATCATTACCTTCGATAGAAATGTACCAGATATTGTCAACATTAACACTTTCAAAAGAAAGCTTGACAGATTTTTTGGGTCACTTCCAAAAAAAAATGTATGATTGGTACTTCTGTTTCTTGCTTGGGAATGTTATTAACTCAATGTGCCGATAATTTTATTTCTTTTTTATTTTTGTTTGGTAATCCTCTATACTGGATCTACCATAGCAGGGATTGGTTGCTTTTCCAGCTTCACGGATTTTTCTGTTTTAGATTAAATTTAAAAAAAAAAAAAAAATGAAGGAAATGAATTCCAAAGAACTGATGTTCGAGGAAAAAAACTAGTGGAATAACAGGTTTTGGAGCACTTAGGAACAGTCACAGTAAAAGGATGAGACTTAATTGAATGACGAGTAACACAAGAATAAACTTTAGTAGATGGCACAAGAGACGCTAGCTCTTTAGAGCAGTGCTCATTATAGTATTTATAGAAAAGAGAAAGAGAAGCAACATTATGACGATGTGATAATGGTTGGAAGTTGGCTGCAAGAGCAGGTCCAACTATTATTTACAATGCGCTTTTGCACCTTGTCTAAAAGAGAAAGGGAATTATTGGAAGATCTGCCCCAGATATGGCAACAGTATTCTATACAAGGACAGATATGAGATTTATAGAGAAAAAGAATAGAATCCAGAGTAAGAAAGTGTAAAGCATGATAAAGAGATGCAACCTTAGAAGATGCTAATTTTGCAATGGATTTGATATATCGTTTCCAAGAAAGTTTCAAAGTAAGAGTTAATTCCAGAAGATGAAAAGTAGATGACTAATCAGATCATCAGATTTGATATCCCTACTTCACCATGACCAGGTAAAGTGGTAGGTAGGTATGTCAAATATATTTTGTAAATTTTACTTTGTAAATTTAATATAGTTTTGATAAATGATTGAAATTTTAATTTGTAAGACTTATGCTAAATATACTTTTGTTAAGTGTTTACAGTAGTAGTAGTAGTAGTACGTAGTAGTAGTACGTAGTAGTAGTAGTAGTACGTAGTCACAGTCGTAGTCGTAGTCGTAGTAGTAGTAATAGTAGTAGTAGTAGTAGTAGTAGTAGTAGTAGTAGTAGTAGTAGTAGTAGTAGTAGTAGTAGTAGTAGTAGTAGTAGTAGTAGTAGTAGTAGTAGTAGTAGTAGTAGTAGTAGTAGTAGTAGTAGTAGTAGTAGTAGCAGTGCCCTAATGAGCGTTTCTGATGTGGAACCCTTGGCAGCGATTGCAACCAAGATAGTGGCGAAAAGTGTCGCAGCAATTTTATAAAAAAACATGAATGAAAGTGTATACAAATATCAAACATATGTAAACTTCAAATTATGTAATATTAAAATATACTATAACATATATCAAGTTTACAGTTTTACTTTCACTTAAAAATTGCATTGCGATAACATTCCCTTAATTTTGATCTATAGAATTTATTACCATTTTAAAAGTTTTTTGTTTGTTAAATAGTTTTTAAATCTTTGTCAGACAACACACCTGCTTGGCCAAATGGTTACCTTACAGAGCTTCTGAACGAAAAAGACGTGGTTTAAATCCTACCACTGGCAACTTTTTTTTTTTTAATTTTTTAAAATTTTAAATAAAAAATAAAACACATTTTATTTTTTATTTAAAATCTTAAAACATATATGCGTATGTTATGCCTATTATATCTATAAATCAAAGTTTTATAGATATAATAGGCATAACATATGCATAACAAATGTAAAGATGTTATACACTATAACAAACAAAAGAAAGAGAATTTTTAAAAAAGCTTAAAATTTCTAAAAACATCAAAACACTGGGAAAAGTTTGTTGTGCTTATATGTTGTGATAGAGACACCTTTGTTATTTTAGTTTTACATTTCAAATTTTCTACAAGTAATTTCATGCAAGGAAAATGAGTATATAACATGTTTATATATAGAATATAAATCTATAGAACTATAAAATTGTTTTGTTTTGCATTTTAAAAAACAAAAATTAAAAAAAAAAAGCAAGCTTAGGATTTGAACTTGCTTAGGATTTTAACTTTTTTTAAAACAGAAAGGGGGTTTAAAAAGTATGTTTTTATTAAGAACATAATTGAAAATTCTAATTTTATATTTATCATTTTGTTAAATTTATTAATTTTAAAAATAATAAAAAGTTAAAATTATCTAATATTAAAGTAATAAAGAAATTTAGATTTTATAGCTATTTTACCAATCCCCTCGTTAAACATTCTAAACTGAATGTACAACAATGACAGAACTTAGTAAACAGTCAAATTAGTATTATACTCCGTATAATATTGGAAGAGTTGACTAGGACGCTATTAAAGGATATCATGTTTTATATGAATCTAATAATTTAGTACAGTCTTATTGTCTGGTGGTGATATTTAGGTTAAATTAAGTTAAATTTACTTTTAAAGAATCTTTTAAATCTACTTTTTATAAAATTTACATTTGCTTTTTTTTTAACTTCTAATTCAACAAAATTTTTCGTACAAAATTTTTAAAGTATGAAAATAAAATATCATTAATTTTAATTGTTAATTTTATTTATTTTTATGTTTATATTGTGAAGTGTTTGTTTGTACGCTATTGAGATGTTAATATAGGCTCACTTCATATAGCGCACACAAAGTGTGAGCCCAGAAAAGGGGAAAAGATTTCCTCTCATTTCATTAAAGGGGAAGGGATTACCCTTACTGAAAGTGAAGTTGGTTAAGTTAAGTAGGCAGGGGAAATGCTTAACTTTTAAGTTAAAGTTAAGTGGGCAGGGGAAATACTTAACAACATCTACAAATAGAAGATGTATTTAAATGTTTTTAGTTGAATATGAATTTTATTGCTCATTTTTCTTAAATTTATAAATATTTTTTATTTATAAATAAATTTATAAATAAAAAATGTATAGTTTGTAAATTAATAAGTTAGTAAAAAAATACCAAAATAATGTAAACAAAGTTTTGTTTCTTTTTTTTTAAATATTAAGTTATGTTTATAACATACTTTTGTTGAAAAGATATAACATTGTGTTTCTACACAAAACACCATTAAAATTTTAGTCAGCAAAACATGAAAAATATTAAAAAGATTTGTTGTGATAGTGTTTACGACTCTCCATGTTGTGACTGTGTTTATGATTTTCCATATCAAAATAATATTTTATTGTCAGTTCAGATTTTGTAAATACTTCAATTTTTATAACTATCAAAAATTAAAACTGAATTAGCAAGTATCTGATAAGTACTTACAATGTAAAAGAACTTTAAAATCATTTAATGAAAACATATTTTTATATTTGTTTGTTTTTATAATTTTACCTTTATTATCTCATGATGGTAGAGTTATTTTTCATGTTTAACTACAAATATTATGTATTACAAATATTTTAAATTTAGTTGTTATTTTATTTCATTAGTTCTATTTTGGTGCTCTACCAACTATCATAAGTTTACTTTGTCTACTGTTAAAATATGGTTTTAACTTAGTAAACTTTAATTATTTAAAATTTACTATGTTGATCATTAGCTAATAGTTTAAAAAGAAAATAGTTTGTTGCAATCAAGGTAAGAATAATTTTATCTTTTGATTTAAAAACAAAATTTGTTAGCTCTGATAGTTTTTATGTTTTTTTTATTTCATATAATTGTGAAATAAATGTCTTTTCTTTCAGATTTTGACTTTTTTTTAACAATGTTCTGGAAAAAAAATTATCATCAGGTAAATTGGTATTTAGTGTTAATATATGTTTTTGCTTTTTTTATTATAACTGTTTTTTTTTATTTTTATTTTAGATATATCTTACATAGCTTACAATATTAGATTACAATATTGCTTTTTCAGCATATTGTAGAACAACTAAGTGTCCACATCTCATAAGGCATATAAGGTGTGGGCCCAAATTTAGGGCAAAAGATTATTCTGCCCCTTCCTTCTCTTTTTTTTAATAGGGAATGTGGATCATATAGAAAGTAAAATATAAGGAGAGGGAGAGGTGGGAAAATAATATGCTACATCTATAATTAGTATTTTTGTAGTTGGTTAATCTACCAATTGTTAATTGATTATGCAAATAAAAAAAAAACATTTCTTTATATAATTTGTACTGTTATTATGAATAAATAAATTGATTTTCAGTAATACACGTGGTGATTTTTTTTCTTTTTTTAATTCAACTACGTTTTTTTAGATTAATCAGATGACGTGTTTGTTCAATGCAGACATACAATTGAAAACTATTGAAAATTGTTATGTTTTATTAATTTGTTAATAAATGTGTAAATAATTTTAATTTAACTTTAACTTTATAAAGCTATTAGGCCTTTTTTTCAAACCACAATCCGTAATGATTCGTATTTGATCTATGTGAACAAAAGTTTATGCAAATATCTAACACGTAAACATCAAGTTATTTAAATTAATTAAAAATTATATCAAATCTTACAGATTTCCTTTTACTTGAAAATTTCTTTGCAGCAATATATCCTTAATTATGATTTATAGCATTTATATGCTGTTTTATAAATATATATACATAAATATTTTATAAATATTTATATAGCATTTAGTAATAGTAAAAGTTATAATAAGTCTTTTGTTTATTAAATAGTGTTAAAAAATGATATTATAGCTTGCCAAAGTGGTTGAACTGCTTTGCGTGGGTTCAAATTCTTTCGCTTACACATTTAATTTTTTTTTAAGCTTTTCTAATTTTCTAGAACAGAAAGTTAAACATTTTTAAAGGCCTATAGATATTATATGCATAACATATAAAAAGATATACTATAACAAAAAAAAAGAATGAATTTTTTAAAAAGCTTTTTAAAATTTCCAAAACATGAAAAAACTGTTAGAAATTTGTTGTGCATGTCATGAAAGAGATACTTATATGCTTAGAAATTTGTTGTGCATGTCATGAAAGAGATACGTATGCGCTTAGAAATTTGTTGTGCATGTCATGAAAGAGATTATGATATTTGTTGTGCATGTCATGAAAGAGATGATATTAATGTGCTTAGTAATTAGTTAAGTCTGCATGTTTAACAAACATTAAAGAGACAACTTTCTTTCTTATATAAAAAGGATTTAACATGCAAACTTTAATTTTCTTCAAAATTAACGACACAAGAGTCCTAATAAGTTGCCTATAAATTATATAAATATAAATTATATATAAATTACACTAATTATTATTATAAATATAAATTATGTATAAATTTTACTATTTATAGTTATAAATATAAATTATATATAAACTATACTATAAATTATATGAAAATTAAACTATTTAAAAAATGTATAAAAATTATTTAAAATCTATAATAAACTTAAAAAAATCTTACTGATGATTGTAATTTTTGAAATCATGGCATCAAAACCATGTTGATTAAAAGCTCTACACTGATAAATTCCTTCATCAAAGTGTTGCAAATCATTAATTATAAGTTCACTACCATTCAAAACATTTATTCGTGCATCATAGTTCAAATTCTCTTTATTTATTGTCCATTCATAAAAGGTTGACTCTGCACCTTCAGACGGACAGAGAATACTCAATGTTTTCCCAGTAATAGTAGTTAGATTTGTACCAATCTCGATAACAACATATGGTGAAATTCCAAAATCAGTTTTTATTGCATCAGAACTAGTAATTATAGGTGAACCTTGAGCTGTAAAAACACCAAACTGTAGTGTGTATATATATATATATATATATATATATATATATATATATATATATATATATATATATATATATATATATATATATATGTATACAAAAAAAAATATATATATATACATATATATATATATATATATATATATATATATATATATATATATATATATATATATATATATATATATATATTATATATATATATATATGTAATAAATTTTAAACAAATGATTTGTTTTCATAAATTACCTAAAACTTTTAAAAAAGAAAATCCACTTGAAATTCCAGCACTGTTACTTGCAAAACATGCATACTTCCCTGTATCCCACTCATCTGAGTTTATTATTGTTAGTGTTTTTTGTGCTGAGTTAACAATTAATTTTTCTGAGGTTTGTAACATTTTACTTTCATGCATCCACACAAGTTCTACATTTGGATAGCCTTTAGCAGGACACCGTATAGTAATATTTCTACCTCCAGGTGTTTTTAGATAATCTCCAATTGTAATAACATTAGATTTTAATGGGTCAGAATTTTTCAAAACAGAATGACCAATAGTAATAACTGGAGCACTGGGAACTAGAAGTTTAATTGTAGTGAAGTAGAATTACTAATGATGTATTTCATATATATTTTAAATTAATATAATGTACTATTATTTAATCATTTTACAAATATATGATACAATATATTTATATATATATATATACATATATATATATATACATATATATATATATATATATATATATATATATATATATATATATATATATAATATATATATATATATATATATATATATATACATATATATATATATATATATATATATATATATATATATATATATATATATATATATATATATATATATACTATATATATATATATATATATATATATATATATATATATATATATATATATATATATATATATATATATATATATATATATATATATATATATACATATATATATATATATATATATATATATATATATAACAACATAGAGTTTTTGAAATATACATTTTCTATAAATATATATTTTATGTTTTTTTGATAAAAAATTCTTTTTTTTTTTGTTTTACGCTTTATATCTTTCCTTTATTTTTCAAGTCAAATAAAAAAACATTCAATGATTAAAAATAAAAACTGCAGTATACCACTAAATAAAATAAATTAAATAAAATGTTTGATTAAACATTAAACAAACAGAAAATTAGAATTTGATTAGATTAGAAAATGTTGCACAAATATCTATCTATAGACATTGACAGTCTCTGATATCACTTAATTTGTTTTTTGTTTCTCTTCTAATTGATTAGTTTCTCATAAAAATTTTATTCATAAAGGTTTTGCTAATATATTAACTACTAATAAATGACTAAATTTTTATTTATTGTGTTTATGCGTTCGTCTTTTGATCATTAATTCCTATGCTATCATAACATCTCTACTGTGATCGAATTAGGTACCAATCTCTAAATATACAAATAAACCAATATAATTCTCTGGAATGTACTTCTAGTCAATCAGATAGGTAAAAATTTTTGTTCTTATGGTATTTTCGTTTTTATTATTTTTATTTGATATTTTTACCATTTTGTTATTGCTAGTCTACATTAATAATTTTATTGTTTTTCTTGACAACAATTTTTCAGCTTCACGCCAGCTACCACTAGTAGTTGCAACTTTTGTCACTTTTTTTTATTTATAGTTCTCTGTAAACTTAATTTTGATGCTCTATAAATTTGAATTTTTCTGTAAATTCAAAATTGATATTCATATTTACTTTTGGGTTTATACAAATATAGATATTGTTATGATATAGTTATGTCTAAAATTAGATTTAGTTATGTCTATATTTGATCATTTAATTTGTTAATATGTCCGTAATTATCTATTGTTTAATTTTCTTTATTTATTACTGCTATTAAACTCAGGAGAGCTTCGGATGTTTGGCTTTCTGGAGTGAGGTCCATTTTATTTCAATAATGATATGATAAAGCTACAGAGGGTGATAAAGATTACAACAATGCATTTCTGATGTATGATGTCTTTTGTCAGACACTGACACTGCTTTTGGTCTGTTATCTTTTTTGTGTATATATGTTTATATTTTTGTGTTTATATTTATATAGGTTTTGTGCTTTGAATTTTTAAGCTTGCTCGAGATATATTTTTTTATTTATGTGTTTATACATTTTGTTTGAATTTTTACTTAATAATTATTGACCTCTGTTTATATCTCTAATAGTTTAAAATTGTAACCATTATCTATTACTATTATAATTGTTTGGATTTTGTTTTGCTATATTTTTGTTTTTGAATTTTTTATATATTCATTGTTTTGATTTTGTTTTGATTTATTTAATGGTTCTCTTAGCTAAACCTAGCATTTCCATTGTCATTATGATCATTAGCATTTCCATTGTCATTATGATCATTAAACTGTATCACTTGTATCACTACTAGAGATATTTCAACAAAAACAACACAAAAACATTAATTTTCTACTTTTATCCTTGAGATCTTTATTTCTGGCTGGAATTTATAACCAACTTTTTACACTACCTTTTATATTTCATCTGTTTCTATAAGCATACACTGCCCATTATGATCTACCATATGTAAGAAATAATAAACATACAAAGAAAATTACTTTTGTTGATAACATATTACCATAAGAAAATGTTACCATGGAAACATGTTTTCACTTGTACAATTATTAGTAGTAATCAAAACAATTGTAAAATAAAAATAACATTACAAAAACTTTTTTTTTTAATACTTAATAAAATAAAATATTAACTTGAAAGATTAGATTCAGAGTATTAGAACTTTGATTCTCCTAGGAAAGTAGTTCTGACCAAGGCGTCACACGCCTAAATTAATCTTATAAATTTCACATCAAATAAATTTAAAAACAGTTTGAATGACTTTAATTTATAACCAGCAGTTTAACTGATTTCATATTGTTATTAAACACTTTACATCATGATTATGATGTCATTATAGTGTAAATGACTTTAATCTGAAAACTAATTAAAGTAAAAAAACTATTAATTGTAAACAATAAATTTCATTTATTGTTTATTCATTCATATTTTGTTTATTCAGTATTCATTTTCCATTTAATTGTTTTATAAAAGTGTAAGCTATTGCTTTGTATTGCTATGTAAGCTATTGTTTTAAAATTAAGTTTCATGTTGCATTTATCTTTACTTAGTTTTCAATAAATATTTTAGAACAAAATGTCAATTCATCTACATAAAAAGCTCTTTATTCTCATCTGGAATAAAAAAAGAAATACTTTATAATTAGATTCAAATGTCATGTTTTATACATAACTTTAATTTTTCATGATATGGTTACTATAGATACTAGTTACTGATAAACAAATTTTACAATTAACCTAGAACTGAATAAAAAAAAAAAGAAATTAAAAAAAAAACTTTTATTGCCTATCAACGTACCAATCAACCGAACTTCTGTAAATGCACGAGTTTCACCAACTGCATTTTTAGCAACACATTTATAGTCTCCAGCATGATGAGGCTGAAAGTTTAAAATTAAAAGCATAGTAGATGTTTGTATGACTGAGTCATCTACTAAAGGGTCTCGACCAAAAAACCATGTGATATGTGGATGTGGTACACCTGAAGCATTACACAAAAGCTTCAGAGGTGCACCCTCAACAATTTTTACAAAATCTCCAACTTTAACGACATTTGAGGCTTTGGAAGATAAGATTTCTACAGTTCTTCTCCGAGATCCACTCTGAATAACTGGTGGGCCAGAATCTAAATTTTTTAGATTTAAAAATTAAATTCAAAAAAAAATGTCTTATATAGAAAAAAATGTGCTGTATATATAAATATGTCATATTATGTATTACATATATGTATAAAAAATATATATATAGTATAAATATATAAGTGCGTTATACATATACATATATGTAATACATATATAAATATATATACACCTTGTACAGAAAATTTAAACGGACTTGTTTTTTTAACATATATAATACTTTTAAGAAATGATAATCCAATAAATTGATGAGATGTATTCTGTATTTTTATGTTTATTTATACTATGGCTATAATTTATTAATTAATAGAAGAAAAAAAACTGTATGTTAATAAAACTAAGGGAGCAATTAACACCTTTCAATTTTTTGAAATAAATTTTAAAGGTACTTTGATAAGAAAACTCGTAACACCCTTTATTGAAAGATTTTTTATAAGTCTTTATCATTTTTATCACTTAACAGCCTGTTAGCATTAGGATCATTTGGATCCCTATTCTTGTTTTATTTTGAATAAAAACTGCAACTACAATTTGGTTCAAAATTCAGCATTTTTTAACTGATCCAACCTTGTCAAAGTATCATATTTTCATGGGTAAAAGAGCTATTTTGTCAAAAACAAAATGGCAAGCCATTAGAATGCATAAAATGAAAATAAGCAATAGAGAAATTAGTAAACCCCTAAATATTTCTGAATTCAGCGTTCGTACAACAACAAAAAATTATTTATCAACTGGTAGTGTCAATGATAAACTTCGTAATAGGCATCCAAAAAAACTGATGGCACGCGATGAAAACATGCTTTACACGCTAAAACATGCTTTACACGCTAATGAAAACATGCTTAACATGCTCTATCGGAATAATTTAGACCTTCCTATATTTATGAATGGTAATGTACTCGATGAGTCTCCTACCCTTCATCTTCTAGGATTAACTCTTACTTCTGATCTTTCCTGGAAACCTTATATCAAATCCGTTGCAAAATTAGCATCTACTAAAGTCGCTTCTCTTTATCGAGCTCGTCACTTTCTTACTCTGGATTCTATTCTCTATCTCTATAAATCTCAAATCCAGCCTTGTATGGAATACTGTTGCCATATCTGGGGCGGATTTTCTAATGATGCCCTTTCTCTTTTAGACAAGGTGTAAAAACGCATTGTGAACATAGTTGGACCTACTCTTGCAGCCAACCTTCAACCTCTGTCACATTGTCGTAATGTTGCTTCTCTTTCTCTTATCTACAAATACTATAGTGGGCACTGCTCTAAAGAGCTAGCGTCTCTTGTGCCATCTACAAAAATTCATTCTTGTGTTACTCGTCATTCAATTAAGTCTCATCCTTTTTCTGTTACTGTTCCTAAGTGCTCCAAAAACTCTTATTGGTCTAGTTTTTTCCTCGAACATCAGTTCTTTGGAATTCGCTTCCTTCATCTTGCTTTCCTGATTCATATAATTTGCAATCTTTTAAGTCGTCTGTCAATCGTTATTTTGCTCTTCAATCTTCATCTTTTCTCTTCCAGTAACTTCCAACACTAATAAGTGGTTGCTTGCAGCCTTGTTGGAAGCGAAGATGTTAAAAAAAAAAAAAAAAAAAAAAAAAGCAAACGTAACCCAAAAGCAGGAGTATCAACTTTAAGTGCAGAAATCAATAGTTCTTTGGTAGACAAAACTGTTAGTCAATGACAATAAGTAAGTTATAATGCAAGAAAGAACTAAATTCATTTTATGGTGTAAGAAAGCCTTTGTTAACATTAACTGATTTTAAAGACAAAAAAAATGCTGTAAGGAGCATTTAACTTATTCAGTGGAACAATGGAAAATGATTATCTTTAGTGATGAATCCAATTTCAGTATTAACAGAAAACACAAAAATACGGAATAATATTTGAAGCAACACCTACTAAGCCGTATTCAAAAAGATGGTTGTTCCATTGGCATACAAAGATGTATATCAGGCTCAGGTGTTGGCTGTCA